GACAGCCGACTGTGGGACTTCTCAGCCTCCATAAGTGCATGAGCCCATTCCTCTAATAAATCTCTTTATATATATGTTATATACCCTTTGCTTCTGTTTCTCTGGAGAACCCTAATTAATACAGGAGTTTGTCAAGGTTGTAGGATAAAAGTCAATACACAAAAGTCTATTGCAGTTGACCCTTGAACAATGTGGGGTTTGGGGCACCAAACCTCCTGCATAGTCAAAAATCCATATATAATTTTTGACTCCCCCAAAACTTAACTACTAATAGCCTACTTTTTGACCAGAAGCATTACCTATAATATAGTCAATTAACACATATTTTGTATATATATTATATACTATATTCTTACAATAAAGTAAGCTAGAGAAAAAAATGGTTTTAAGAAAATCATAGGGAAGAGAAAATACATTTGCAGTACTGTGCTGCAATTAAAAATTTTTAAAAATTTTAAAAAATCAAAGAAGATCAAAATGAATGGCAAGATATAGTGTATTAGGGATTGATGGATTCAATATAATTAACATGCCAATCATCCATAAATTGATCAATAGATTTAACGCAATTCTGATAGAAATTCCAGTACAATATTTTTGTAGATATAGGCAACTAATTCTAAAAGTTGTATGGAGTGCAAAATGAACTAAATCTTTGAAATAATTTTGAAAAAGAAAAACAAAGTTGGAGGATTCACGCTACCAGATTTTTAATTATTATAAAGCTATAGTAATCAAGGGTATGGTATTATCAAAGAGATAGACACATAGATCAGAATAATAGGCTAGAGAGTTTGGAAATAGACCCACAGAAATATGGCCAATTCATTTTTTTTTAAAGATGAAAAGGCAGGGGGCCTGGGTGGCTCAGTCAGTTAAGCGTCTGCCTTTGGCTCAGGTCATGATCCCGGAGTCCCGGGATTGAGTCCTGGGACCGAGCACCACGTTGGGCTCCCTGCTCAGTGGGGAGTCTGGTTCTCCCTCTCCCTCTGCTCATGCTCTCTCTCTCTCATTCACTCTCTCTCTCAAATAAATACACAAAATCTTAAAAAAAAAGATGAAAAGGCAATTTAATGGAAACAAACTATGATAGCTGCAGAAAAATACTACTCAGCAATAAAATGAAATGAACAATGGAGACATGCAATAACACGGATGAATCTCAAAGGCATTACACTGAATGAAAGGTATGTAAAAGTTTATATACTTTGTGATTCCATTTATATTACACTCTGGAAAAGTCAAAACTATTTTTTTTTTTTTTAGATTTTATTTATTTATTTGACAGAGAGAGACACAGCGAGAGAGGGAACACAAGCAGGGGGAGTGGGAGAGGGAGAAGCAGGCTTCCCACGGAGCGGGGAGCCCGATGCGGGGCTCGATCCCAGGACCCTGGGATCATGACCTGAGCTGAAGGCAGACGCTTAACGACTGAGCCACCCAGGCGCCCCTTGATGGATAATAAATTAGTTGTTGCTACGGGTTAGGGATGTAGACAAGTTGTGAGTACAGCCTGAGGAAGTTTTATGGAATGATGGAACTATTCTGCATTGTGATTTTGGTGTTAGTTTCACAAATCTATACATGTATTAAAATTCATAAAGCTATATGCCAAAACAAGAGTCAATTTTACTGTATGTTGTTTTTAAAAAAGAACTCCATGAAATAGACAACAAATAATTGAGCAAATAAACAAAGCCAAAAGTTGATTCTTTGAAAAATTAGTAAAATTGATGAATTAGAAGCAAACTGATAAAGAAAAGCAAACCAAAAATTACCAATTTTAGGAATGAAAGAGGGGACATCACTACTAATCCAATAGACATTAAAAGGATATTAAAGAAGTAGTATGAACAACTTTATGCCAATAAATTTGACAACCCCTACATGAATTAGAGAAATTTCTTGAGGGACACAAACAACTTCCTCTTACATCTCATTGACTAGAACTGAATCACATGGCCATTCCTAGCGGTCAGGGAGGCAAAGTGAGTATCTGGCAAAGAGAAACAAAATGGTCATGGAGGGCTTAGTTCAATCACAGCTTACTCTCTGTGGCTGGCCACAGGGTTGCCCCCTCCAATCAAAAAAATCGGGAATATATTAGAAGTAATGGCGAGTACTTTTTTTTTAAAAGATGTATTTGAGAGAGAATGAATGAACGTGCACACCAGCGAGCAGGGGGAGGGGTGGAGGGAGAGGGAGACAAGCCGACTTCCTGCTGAGCGGGCAGCCAAGAGAAGGGCTCCATCCCAGGACCCTGAGATCAAGACCTGAGCTGAAATCAAGGGTGAATGCTTAGCTGACTGAGCCACCCAGGTGCCTGGAGAGTGTTTTATGTAGGGAGTTAACAATGCCTGCCACAGGCTTTTAGCCACTTGCAGTCAAAAGGCTCCTAGTTCAGTGCACTTATTGGCTAAAACAGAATCTTTAACCAATGTATTTTAAATGCCCAGACAGAAATACTTCTGAACCGAGGGGAATGCCTGAGAACTTCAAAATAATTGTTACAGAAAAGCCTAGAAGAGGTTATGATTATTCTTGGATGAAATCTGATTAAAACCAGGTCTGAGAGCTGTGCTTTCCTTGCAATGTGAAAAGTTTTCTTACTTTTCTTCCTCCATCTCTGGGTGCCTCTCTTCCCCTTCAGCACACTTCCTCATGGCATTCTGTTTTTCTTTTACTGGAGTACTTCTCTACTGCCTTATAAATACTTGTTTTGTTTGTTTGTTTGTTTGTTCATCTCCTAAACAAGACAGTAATGTTAAAAGAAGGAATCATGACTTCACTGTAGTCATGTCTAGGTCTCTGGAACCCAGGTAGTATCTACCTGGTTTTTGTTTTTGTTTTTTTCCATTATGTAATGAATGAGATGCTTTCAAAGCAAGGTCAAAAGATTTAGCTGGTAAAGAAACAATGAGCCTTTTTTAGATTTAGACAGATCAGTACCTACATAGACAGTGAAACCAAGAGTAGCCAAAAGGTGCCAGCTATTGTCTCACACTAAAATGATAACACCAAAACAAAAGGAGTCAGATGACTTCAACTTGAGGTGTGGAATGGCTTGTTGCTAAGGGGCTAATGCTGTGCTGTGTCAGGTGAAGCAGACAGCCTCATCACAACCCAGGAAGAAATGAAGAACCGCAGCCTCCTCGGAAGACAGGGACAGGAGTGGTCAATGGCCTTATTGCAGCTCCTCACAAGCCTCTCATGCTCTCACATTCTGGGAGGATCACAAGGTGTTCTGCCAAGACCCAAAGCAGCTGCAGTTCAAGCCTCTCCTACATGACCTGTGTAGGTTGTGCAATGTTGTCCGGCGCTGGTGTGGAGCTATTCCTCACCCTCAGGTTGCTCAGAGGAACACGATGCTCTTTCTTGACTGTAATTTTAAGATGGCAACAGGGGCCACCATCCAAGAGAGAGCCCACGTAATGGGGCTCAGAAGGATGGTATTTCAAAGTGGGTGCTGTGGGTCCCTGCCCTCAAAAGAATAGAGAGGGAAACCTCATTGTGGTTTCCATTTACTCTCTTAGAATTAAGAATAAGAAAACGAATCCCAGAGAGTTTTGTAAAATTTTGCAACTTTCAAAGTCCCCAAGTATTTGTTTGATATTATTTTTTTTTGTTTTCTAACATTAGATGTAAAAACTCAAAGCAAAACAAAACAAAACAAAACAAAAATGCCTTGAGCTAGCCTTCAGGGTCACAAAAGAGGGAAAAGTTCAGAAGAGCAGCCAAGCAGTTTGGTGGCAGTAGCCAAGTAAGAGAGTGAAATGGCTGGATTTTGTAGCCTCCTAAATGAGGAAAGAGAGAAGAGGCACCAGAGTTAGCAGGAGTTCTGGGGAGCCAAAGTTCTGGTCAGATGGTAAATTAGTTCTATACCATCAGCAGCTTGCTCACTAGCTCTCTCATTCACAAATCCAGCAGAGGCTGGGAGCACTTTATGAAGCCCTGAATGAAGCAGAAAGCTGAAGCCTGAGGATCTTGAAATGCTTCTGGAAGGCTGGACCTGCACTTCTAACATAGACCTTAAACAACAGGGCTCTTTTGTGTGGTTTCTGATGCCCGACATGTGACCTAGCAAAAGGGGCAGTGTGACAAGCCCACCATTCATTCATTTATTCAACAAATATTTATTGAGTTCTCTATGTACCAGGCAGTCAGCATCCTAGGACTAGGTGGGGATACTGTGGTGTACAAGACAAACAAGGTCCTTGACCTTATGGGACTTACAGACAAAAGAAAAAAAAAAAAGCACAGAAGAGGGAAATGAATAAATGAGATCACTCTCCTCTGCTATGAAGGGTGCAGAGACTTCCAGAGAGCCTAAGAATCCAGAGTCACAGTGAGCCTAAGAGCTGAGCTCAGAGTGGGGAAGCAGGGAGCAGACCACAGGGGGCTTTGCAGGCCAGTGTAAGGAGTTTTTACATCATACTTAAGACAGTGAGGATCCTTTGAAGGCCTTTAAATAGGGGAATGAAGTGGGCTGATTTACTTTTCCAATGATAACTTCAGCGGCTGTTTTGTGGTATAAAATGTCAAGTCTGAAGTCAGAAGATGACCATGCACTTTGCGAATTCACTGAGATCACTGCCAAAGCTCTTAAGAGTCTCATCTTGTTTCCCTGACAGATAATTTGGTCAAAATAAAGCTGTGTAACATGTGCGGGAGCCAAAGGTTGGAGTCATGCTTTGGTTTCAAATCTTTTCTCCCCCTTACTAGTTATGAGCTCTAGGCAAGTTATTTACTTGTGCCTCAGTTATCTATCTTGGCTGAGAAATGGGGATAATAATAAAAGTTCTTACCATCATAGATCTGTTGTGAAAATGACAATATGGGTGGCTGGTACAATGTAGTAAGCACTTATAAATACTCGCTTTTATTATTTCTTTCAGAGGGTTACTGTGAGCTTCGTATGAGATAATGCCTGTCAGATGGCTTGTGAAACCGCAAAGACTATCTTAATGGCAGAATTCTCTTTCTTTTCCCTGTCTCTTAAGCGGAACACAGAACTCTGGGCTATCCAGGGAGGCGCGAGGCCAAGCGCAGCCTCAAAGCGGTCATTGTCGTCGGGCCGCCCCTCCCCCTCCCGGAGTGCATCTCCATGGCAACGCGGGGCTTCTCCTCTCCCCGCCTCCTGGGACCCGCAGACCGGAAGCAGTCCGCGCCGGGGGCTTCTGGGAAACGGCTTGTGAGCGGCGTTTCTGCGTCTGCTTTGGACAGCGAAGCTGCTGCGGATCCTGAGGTGGAGGTTTGCGCGAGAATGGGGGGAAGGGCGTGAGGGGGACGCTGGGCTAAGAGGCTGCGGACCTCTTGGCAGGAATCAGCGAAGAAGCTTGGCGGGGACCTTGGCTTCCCGGGAGGCGCGGAGGAGAGACCGCGGTCTCCGCGTCCAGTAGTTGCGGGGCGGATAGGTGTAGAAGGAAGGCCAGATCGGGCTTGCCGCACTACCGGGGAGTCCTCCATCTCCTGTGTCCTCCGCGACCCTCGCCCTTCCCCATCCCCCATCGCCCGGTTTTGTTCTATTTCGAGGCCTGGCGTCTCGCGGAGGGTTCTGGGACTCGTTTTGGGCGGAGGTGGGAGGGGGCGGGCCTTGCGCGGAGGCTGCCGGGGCTTGTAGTTGCGCCGGACGCAGGCGGAAGTGCCGTAGCCCGGGCGCTGTTGGGGCAGTGTGGCCTTTGGTCGTCTGAAATCAGCCGGCGGGAGTGCAGGGAAGGGGGACTGGAGGACGCCGGGGCAGGGCGGGGTTTGCAGCGGAACTCCGCGGGAGTGAGGCGAGATCACCTGGGACGCGGCTCCCCGCCCAAACGCTGTAGCGACCGCGGGCCTGCCCTCCTTGCACCTGCTTGACGGCCCACGAGCAGGCTGCTGTAAGAGAACGTAAAAGGAAGAGAAATTTCTTTTCTGTAGAATGATTGAGCCTTTGATAAGGTAGGATCCTGGAATAGGAACCAATGAATCTGTTGGCTAAACCCTATTTAAAAGGCCGCCACACTCCAGAGTAATTAAACCTGTCTGCGTTACTTGTCTGATAAGATAATTAGTCTTGTTAGGGTTACAGGAAGTTTTGTGAAATCTTTGGTTTTCAGATTCTGGGCCCTAATAGATAACACTGAATAACTGCATGGCTCATTCCTAGTATGTGCTGTAAACAATGGCATGGGCATGACTGTGCAAATACAAGGAAAGGATCAGAAATAGCACAAAGTTTCTCTGAAGGTAGAAGCTGGGAAAACTGAGTCATCCAGTGTGAGATGATGACTCGGCCTCTGCAAGAAGTTAAGGTGTTATGCTAGTGCCTTTTCTTCGTTGAATTTGCCGTGATTAATGCCCGTCATTATAGATTTAAATGTAGTTATTGTGTAGTGGGTGACTGGATAGTGTTTGCATTGCATAGCACCTAGTGGTTAGGTTTTTTTTCAGTATTAATCTTTTACTGAGCAAGTGGATATTTTTTCATAGATATTTTAAGTCCAGGGAGTTGGTTTTTGTTTTTTTTTTTTTTTTAAGATTTTATTTATTTATTTCACAGAGAGACCCCGCGCGAGAGAGGGAACACAAGCAGGGGGAGTGGGAGAGGGAGAAGCAGGCTTCATGCTGAGCTGAGAGCCGGACGTGGGGTTGGATCCCAGGACCCTGGGATCATGACCTGAGCTGAAGGCAGATGCTTAATGACTGAGCCACCCAAGTGCCCGAAGTCCAGGGAGTTCTTAAACATTTAAAAGATCGTTCTTAACTCCTAAAAAACATAACTCCTAAAAAGCCTTTTGTTAAAAATTTTTAAACAGATAACAGAAAAGCAGTCCCTACTTTTAAGACCTATGTGGGTCAAGGACCAGCAGTCCTGAGTTTCAAATAATGTGTTCCAGGGTCAAATGCATTTAGAAAACACTGAGTTGGACAGGTTCTTATTTGGACTCTAAATTTTAATTATTGAAATAAGATTTGTTGACCTAGTAGGTCATATATTGGCCAGCTTTTTTTTCTAAAGGGCCAGATAGGAAATACTAGGTTTTTCAGACCATATTGTGTCTGTTGAAACGACTCAACTCTGCCATTGTAGCATGAACTGTGAACGAATAAAATTATTTATGGACTCAGACATTTTTAATTTCTTACCATTTTCACATGTCATGAATATTCTTGTGATTTTTTGCAACCATGTAAAAGTGAAAACTATTCTTAGTACAAGCATTGTACAGAAATGGGCAGCAAGCCAGATTTGGCTGTGAGCTGTAGTTTGCCAACTTCTGCTGTAGGTTATTGATTGGAATTTTTAATCCGGTAAAAAAACAAGTATCTTTTACTTCCTTTATCAGTATATGTTCAAATTCTTAGGATATTTGGTTACTTAGGTTTGTTTGTTTTAATTTCTTGTCCCTCAGGAGTGCCTGTGAAGAAAACAGAGTATTTCCCTGAGGCCTGTATCCTGCCTTGATTGACTTTTCTTGGAAGTATTATAAATCAGGATGTCTGCACAGTCCGTGGAAGAAGATTCAATACTTATAATCCCAACTCCAGATGAAGAGGAAAAAATTCTGAGAGTGAAGTTGGAGGAGGATCCTGATGGTGAAGAGGGATCAAGCATCCCTTGGAACCATCTTCCTGATCCAGAGGTTTTCCGACAGCGATTCAGGCAGTTTGGATACCAGGATTCACCTGGGCCCCGTGAAGCTGTGAGTCAGCTTCGAGAACTTTGCCGTCTATGGCTCAGGCCAGAGACACACACAAAAGAACAAATTTTGGAGCTGGTAGTGCTGGAGCAGTTTGTTGCCATCCTACCCAAGGAATTGCAGACTTGGGTTCGAGAGCATCATCCAGAGAATGGAGAGGAGGCAGTGACAGTGCTGGAGGATTTAGAGAGTGAGCTCGATGACCCTGGACAGCCGGTGAGTCTGGTCGTGTCACTCTCCTGGGTCAGAAGCACTGGCATAGTAGGCAAAGCTGCTGAGTTAACTCTGCTCAACTAAATTAGAATTATATTTATCCCCGCCCCCTACACACACACTGTTCCCCTCCAGCTATGCTTTGTCATACAGGCCCTTGCAGTATGTGTGTTGTTATGGTTTCTTTTGTGTGTTTTTAGTTCTGAATCTTAATCAAATTTCTTCTTACCTGAATCAGACTTCATTTTTTTCCAGGTGTCTCTCCGTCGACGAAAACGGGAAGTTCTGGTAGAGGAGATAGTTTCTCAAGAAGAGGCTCAGGGATTACCAAATTCTGAGCTTGATGCTGTGGAGAACCAGCTCAAGTGGGCATCCTGGGAGCTCCATTCCCTAAGGCACTGTGGTGAGGACCAAAACTCCCAAGTGGGCTAGAGGGTGAAAGAGAGTGTGGGCCATTTGTCTAGAACTCTTTGCTTGTTCCCACTAGGGGGTAGGGAATAATCACCTTAACCTGATTTTGTAGACCTAGACACACTGTAGGATCTTGATTCTTTTAACAGTTGGTTTGCAGACCTCAGGTCTTTTATTCTTAGATATTAACATCATCAGCCTTTTCTTCCCTTTACCTCTTGAAGACCTGCCCATTTCAGACTGGCATTTGCCTTATTTTGAGCCAGCACCTGCTTGTCGATTAGGTCCCTTATTTTTTTTATTTAAGATTTTATTTATTTATTAGAGCATGACAGCGGGGCGGAGAGGGAGAAGGAGGCTCCCTGCTGAGCAGTGAGTCAGATGCAGGGCTTGAGCCCAGGACTCTGGGATCATGACATGAACCCAAGGCAGACACTTAACCAACTGAGCCACCCAGTTGCCCCTAAGTCCCTTATTTTGCATGCAGTATTCTCTGTCATCTGTTTGATATCCTTTCAGTCTCCTGCCTAATCCTTTTGGCACAATAAGCTTACCTGAAGCCTCTTCAAATTCATTCTTTTTGTTGCTGACCACTGAAGTCTTTCTAAATTTTTGGTTATTTTTGTTTTTTCTGCAACATAAAGTCTTTTTTTTCTTTTTTTTTTATAACCTAAGTTTTTTTTTTTTTTTAAGATTTTATTTATTTATTTGACAGAGACACAGTGAGAGAGGGAACACAAGCAGAGGGAGTGGGAGAGGGAGAAGCAGACTTCCCGCCAAGCAGGGAGCCCAATGCGGGGCTTGATCCCAGGACCCTGGGATCATGACCTGAGCCGAAGGCAGTCGCTTAACCAACTGAGCCACCCAGGCGCCCCAAAGTCTTTTTTTTCTAAGAAGCATCTTTTGTAGAAATGATATTTGGATAAAAATATGCTTTAAGTACAGAAAAATAAAAAGCTCGTGATTGTAAGTCGTTTAAACTAGTCTTTCCCAGTATATTGGCAGTTGACACCATATACTTAGTATACTTTGATACAACCCAGTATATTCCTAAACCTGCTGGGTTCTTGTTCATATTTGTTTGAGACTGCTTCGGGAATCTTCCTTGAGGTAGTTGTAGATATTGCTGGTATGTGCCACAGATGGGGTCTCATCAGGTTTTCTTCCCATCTGAGGGGACAGTGTAGGGAACCAGAACTGGTGGGGTGGGGCTGAGGTCTTCTGAAAGCCTGTAGTTTTACATGTTTCATGGGACATTCTTCTCTGAAATGAAGTTCAAGAACCACTATCCTTGGTCATTGGAGGTGACGTTTTCTTGGGTAGAAGATTTCTCCCCCACCTGAATTTTAGAATAACTTTCCCTTATTTGTAAATAGCCTTATTTCAGGGGTCTAGTCTTTACCACACTGGGGAACTTCTTTCTTTCTGTGCCATTTGTCCCCACATAACTTTAACACTTGCTTCTCTATTGTTCATGTCTCCAGGCCTCACTGATCCCCTGCACCTTTCAGTCTCTTGTTATTAATCTTTTCTCTTGACTTTATCCCTTTGGTAATCATTATAGACTTGCCCACTGTTTACCACTTTTCTTATTGCTGCTGCTCACCCTCTAGTAAGTGCTCTTCAAGGCTTGAAGTTTCAGGAAAGTCTTAGTGAGACTTGTTCATACTGCTTTCTGTAGGTGGGTAATGGTACTTCATGTTGGTAATTAATTCAGGCTTTTGTTTCACTGGACTCATTTAACTGAGCCTTAGAAATAATAACTCCTCTAAGTAACATGGCAAATACCTAGTAGTGCAACCTTCATATACAGGAAAGCTTTCATTTACCAAGAGCCTATTGAATATATGTGTTATGTCCTAAGTTAACAGAGAATATCTCCAGTTTATCTTCAGTTTCTTCTTTTTTCTTTTAAGATTTTATTTATTCGACAGACATAGCAAGAGAAGGAACACAAGCAGGGAGAATGGGGGAGGGAGAATCAGACTTCTTGCTGAGCAGGGAGCCTGATGCAGGGCTCATGACCTGAGCCGAAGGCAGACACTTAACGACTGAGCCACCTGGCGCCCCTGTTTTCAGTTTCTTTCTTTCTTTTTTTTTTTTTTTTAAAGATTTTATTTTGTTGTCAGAGAGCACAAGCAGGGGGAGGTGGCAGGCACAGCAGGTAGAGGAGAAGCAGGCTCCCCGCAGAGGAAGGAGCCTGATGTGGGACTCGATCCCAGGACCCTGGGATCATGACCTGAGCCGAAGGCAGGAGCTTAACCGACTGAGCCACCCAGATGTCTCTCTTCAGTTTCTTATTAGGACATCTTCCAGGTTCTGCTTTTAATGTAGTGTTGGCCGTGATCTGCCTGCTCTTGCTCATTTCAGAAATAGTCATTTTTCTGACAGATTGCTTGTTATTGACACCATTATATTTTGATGTGATTTGTTTCTCAGAGCAGAAGAATATTATAGGGATTTCCTAATGGCCACTTTTATATTTCTTAAGAGGTTTCAGCCAGACCTAGCTTGCATCACTTTGTCTAACAGTCTTAGACTCTGCCATCATTCTGCCTTTTGTTTTCTGACTAGTCTTGTATAGCCCACTTGCTTATGTTACCACTTTTATTCAGATATAACCTTTTAATTCCTCATTATGTTAGCATGCCATTACCTCCCTTAGCCTCATAATCATTCATTTCAGTTTTTTCTTTTTTGGAGTAGGCAACCTTAACACTTTTTCAGAGTGCTGTTTGTACACATACTCAAGCTATTTACTTTTAGTTCACTTTTACTAAATTTTTCTTTAGGTCTCTTTCCTTCCAGAATAGGAAACAAGTGATATTTACATTTTTTCTTTATTTCAGACGATGATGGTAGGACTGAAAATGGAGCACTAGCTCCAAAGCAGGAGATTCCTTCAGCAGTAGAATCTCATGAAGTTCCTGGCACTCTCAATATAGGTGTTCCTCAAATTTTTAAGTATGGAGAAGCCTGTTTCCCCAAGGGCAGATTTGAAAGAAAGAGAAATCCCTCTCGAAAGAAACAACATATATGTGATGAATGTGGAAAACACTTCAGTCAGGGCTCAGCCCTCATTCTTCATCAAAGAATCCACAGTGGGGAGAAACCCTATGGATGTGTTGAATGTGGGAAAGCATTCAGCAGAAGTTCTATCCTTGTGCAACATCAGAGAGTCCATACTGGAGAAAAACCTTACAAATGTCTTGAATGTGGAAAAGCCTTTAGCCAGAATTCTGGGCTCATTAATCATCAGAGAATCCATACTGGGGAGAAACCTTACGAATGCGTTCAGTGTGGGAAATCTTATAGTCAAAGCTCAAATCTTTTTAGACATCAGCGAAGACACAATGCAGAGAAACTTCTGAATGTTGTGAAAGTTTAAGAAATTACAAAAAAAAATCAGCACTCAGGTCTTTTTCTTCAGAAATGAAGACAAAATTAAAAACATGAAATAATACATAATAGTTTTATTTCCCTATATAGACTGTTAGAAAATCCACTGGGAAATGTAGAAATTTTTCACCCACTATTATTTTATCTTGAAAGAAACAATGTCATACCTGCCTAGAAACTGAAATTTTAAACTTAATTCAGGTGTTAATTCCTAAATCTTCCATGTGATGTTTATATTCTTATTATTTTTCCAAATAATGAACTACCTGATTCTTTGTCCCTTAAAAGTTTCCTTTTTAGACAGACATTATTTCTGTGTTGATCATTAAAATGTTCTTTGCAAGAATACATTCCCTTCTACATTAAAAGGCTACATAGGAATTATAAAATCTAAAAACTGAAACCATTTTTTAAAAAATTTACCCTTCTGCTTCCTTTTACCTAATTTGAATATGCATTTCAGAAAATAGAAGATAAAGGATGACCAAAAGCCTCAAAGTAAAATGAGCCTTAAAATAACGCAGATAAGAAGTGATGGTGACAAAACATCAAAAAGTGAATGGGACACCTAGATTGGGCAAGATAAACAAATACTTTGATCCAAGAATTGAAGTATATCAAGAATTTATCTCAGTGTAATTATCTGCCTGCAGGGAAACTTAAAATACTGCATAACCTGTCTAATTTGAAGGCATCCCGCTAATGAAATTAATGTTCTCCTGTGTTACCAGTAGAAAATGGGACATTGTGAACAATAAACATTTCTAAAACTGTTAAGAGTAGACATTCTAACACTAGGGAAGAATTTGTAGTGAATGGCAGTGTTGAAGGGCAAATGTTAACATGAGGGTAATGGTCTGTCTTGGCTTTTAGAAAACAAAAAGAGACTCGAAGATCTAATTTATTATTTTGCCTTTCTTTTTGTTAAGGACATAAAAATCCATGACAGGTGGGCAACAAGTATCAGGTTTGCTGTTTTATTTTGGTACAAAAGGGTTGCACACCAGGCTAACAAAACAGCCATGCATTTATTATTAAACATTTTCTACCGACAAGGCACTGTGCTAGGTACTGTAACCCTACCATAGGTAGGTAGCTATTTCTTCCACTGTAAATCATTGGGGGTTTGGTCTAAAGCTGTTTCATGTGAGTTAGCTTCTTCCCTCTGTTTGAGCAGTCCTGGGGGAGGTCACCTCTGAGATTCCCAGAGCCATAGTTCTCTTACCAGGGTGTTGTGTTTGGGGGAAAGGAAGACTCATCTCAAAGAGCTAGCCAGCTCTCCAGCAATCTTCAGAGGTGAGTCCAAGATACTCTCATCACAGTTTGGAGGTTTGTGGGTCTTTTAAAAAAACTAATCAATCTCTAGTAGCATCGAGGTTGTACTTACATGTTAAGTTGAATGGATTGTTCTATTTAAAAATAAACAATAGGCTATTAACAACTAGTTTATTAACTATCAGAATTGATTGAACTATTTTTTTTTTAAATTTTAAGTCTTAACACATTTTTAAAAATGTATAAAAGTAATACATTGTAGTAGTAGGATTATATACTCCTTGGCTGAGAATCCCAAGTACTGTGGTTTTACTGTTTAGTGGAAAACTCTGGAAGTTAAAATAGAGAATACGAGAAAAGGCTTTTTTATAGTGGGCATTAATTGTGTGAAAAATGACCCATGTGAATAAAAAGATTTCATAGTTCCAGAGATTTTGGTTACATCTGGTGCTTGGATCAAATTTAAAATGGAAGGTGAGATTTGCATGAGCCTGTTAAAAAGCATAGTAATAAATGCAAGGCCAGCTGGTGGAAAAGTGAGGCAGAATGGAGCTTGTTTATAGATTTTTCTGATAATTAATTATAAGAAATGTGCTTTATAGATTAAGATTTATTGAAGTATAAATATGTAGTAATGATATAATGTATTTTAAGTTATACAAGAAAATGTAGGGACTTTTGTTTGGGTCTTTTTCTCTTTGTGGCTGAGAGGAAACAAGTCAATGTCCAATAAAGCTATAAACTCCTCCGCTCTAAGATAAAACGATCTTGAGTTGATTTATTTATTTATAACTGGCTTCTTTCCAAGTAGGTTTTGAGGTGGCATATTTTTAATTCTGCTGCTGAGATGACAGAATTCTTGTATCAGAGTAGGTAAGAAGGGAGGCACCTCTCAGTTGCTAGAATTTCACCTTTTGTTTTTTAGATCTTACATCTTTCCTGTATACAAAGAAGCTTCCCTGTGGTACAATTGTCACAAATGCCAAAGATGTTTGGTATAATGTCAGAGCTTAGAGAAAGTGATAGTAGACTTGGCAAATATGAGTTTGTCTTGTCAGCTCTGATACCTGTGCGTTGTTTAGAAAGGATTCTAAGGCCAAGGCAAGGCTCTGTGGGGAAAATGGGTTGGACCGAAAAAGACTGGATTAGGGTATATGGGAAAAGAAATGGCAGTCTGTGTACTTGCCATCTCCGGGTAGGCTAAGTCCCCATTAGACAAATTGATTTAAAATAACTTCAGTGATTTATTATTTCATCCAGATGTTCATTGATACCCACACAGATAATCGTAGTTAGCAATTCTGGGGGCTGCCCGGCCTCTGATAAAAGTGCTGATCTGTCAGTTGCCAAGCAGTGCCATCTCTTTGGTTAGTAAAAGAGCAGTCATTGTTAATGGCATGCAGACTGCTGATAACTGCCCAATAGCTACTGAGCATTTGCTCATTACTGCTGAATTTTCTTCTGGTTTTCTTGGAGGTTAAACTCCCAAAATTTAATTTAGCAATATGTGGATCACATTTATGTAAATTGAAGGGAGGGGTGTATGTATTGAAATAATCTGCACGCCAGGCATTGGATTAGTCACTATACCTATCTCACTTAGATTTGTAGACAAGGAAAGAAAGATTCTGAGATTGTGTGACTTGCATGAGGCCAATTAGAGGTAAAACTCAAATCTAGTTCTGTGAACTTAACAGGGATATCTATTTTTTCACAGTGCAGTGAGTGATGGCTGTTAAACCTTGATTGATAAATTTTATGCTTTTTCTGGTTAACAAATTTAAAAACTTACCCGTTCATTTGAATTTTCTACAATACAGAAATGTTAAATGGAAAAAGGACATTCCTTTTCACACTGTTACTTAGAAGTAATAATTACTTGGTTTGCTATTCTTCCAGACTTAGGCATATACATATTTAAGCAAAATGTGTTAATAGTTGACACTGTGGTTGTTGCACACGGGCAGTGTTGGAAGTGCTTTACCATGGATTAACTCTCAATCCTCACAGCAACCATATGAGGTAGGTACATATCCCCATTTCCCGTGTACTGCGCTGAAACTTGCCTCCTCTCCCCCTCGCCTTGAGGAAGACACTGTTTTTTATAGCTGCACACTACTCCATTGCATGAATATACTGTAATTTATTTAACCCCTTATTGATGGAAAAGTTCTTTCCAATTTTTTATTATAGATAAAGGTATTGTTACCATTCTTACCCATCTATTTTGCTGCCTGTGTGGATATTTCTGTAGGATAAATAGCAAGAAATAGATTTATTGGGTCAGAGAATGTGCACATTTAACATTTTGAGAACTATCACCAAAAAGATGGTACCGATTTACAACTCCATCAATAGAGTGCCTGTTTGCCTCCACCCCCACCAACCCTGAATCCTGAAATATTTTTACCAGTATGGCAGGCAAAATGTGTCTCTCTTTTTATTAATAAGAAGGAGCACCTTTTTTATGTTTATTGGCCATTTGCATTTAATTATGAAAGTATAAATGACTACCATCTCGTTATACAAAACTTAAATGATACACAGGTATAAGAGCAAAGAGACCCTTTTCTCCAGCACTTGTCACATTCCACTGTCCACAGTTTGACATCCATCCATCAAGTTGCCTTTCCATACATTTCCATATGAATATACATACACTTAATAAATGCTATTTTTACATAAATAAGATCATAGATCTGTATTCAGCTTTTTTTTTTCCTTTAGTCTCAAAAATCCTGAGGTCTTTAAATTTCTTTAATGGTTGATTAGGATGCACTGCTATGAAAATCCATTATTCAACTTTTCCTTTATTTTTTCTCTTGCTATTACACTGCCAAAGTAAACATCTTTTTCATGTATTTCTGTAAATGTGTGAATTTCTTTAAGATGGAGTTGTATGAGGTGGATGGTTGGGTCCAAGGATGTGCTTTCTGATAGACCCATCTTAGCCTTCCCAAAGGTCTTCATAACTCTGTTTTTACCCTATGTATGGAAAGTGCTCATTTCCCCACATAGCCTTACCTAGGCTTGTTAATTTTTATCTGATGGGCAATAAAGAAAAAAAATCATCTTGTATTTCCCTGATTGATGGTGAGGTTGAGGTTATTTTCATATGTTTATTGGCCACTTTTATCATGGATTGTTTGTTCATGTCCTTTACCTATAACAGCTTTCTGTTGGGTTATGTGTGGATCTATGTTGTTGGGTGTTTTTTTGTTGTTTAGCATCTCTTTCCCCATCCTCTGGTAACAGAATCCTTATTTATTGTGGGGAACCCATTCCCTGTGGCTTAAATGAGTAGGTGACCAGGTCTGGCCTTCCTGAGTCCTGCAGTTTCTTAGCCACAGTGATCAAAGAATGGGCATGTGACTCGAGCCAGGCTAAAGAGAGCTCTCGACAGAACTTCTGCTGGAACTATTGGAAAGAAGGCTGTACAGAGATCCCACAAACTAAGGACTGTGTAAGCCTGAATTTACATCATGTGGAGAGAGTCTGAGGAGAAACTCAGAGGCTAGCAGAAAGGAATGAGAACTCAGTTCTGATGTCATTTTTCTGGAGGCCCTAGATCCAGCTGTGCCTAAAGCCTGCCCTACCTCCGAACTTTAAAGTTTTGTGAGCCAATAAAGTCCCTTTCTTGTTAAAATAACTGAATTGGGTTTCTGTCCTGATTAATATAGGTTCTTTGTATTTTCTTAATGA